ATTTCAATTCATTATTGTTACAGAGAACTTTTAAGTTCGGCTTAATCTACAAATATCGGAATACATCATGTTTCCGTCCTAAACTCGTTGCTGTGATGATTTTACATGCATCATATTGGAACAATATTGAGAGGAATAATAGAAAACATTATATCGTATGTAAATCGGTATCCTGAAGAGGAGGATGAAAAAGAGCGATTTTACATCAGCGATCCTCCGGTCTAGATAGAATTTTTACTATTTCGAACTGATAACAGTCTTCCTTACGTAGTTGAATATTTGGTTCTTTTGTAGGTATTTTGTACTTGTACAAATATAGCTAGCAGATTTGTATAACCGAATGACACTTGCGTTGATACTCGGCAAGATGCGTGCGAAAATCTATTTCGTAAACGATATCCCGAGATAATGTAAAATAAAATTCATCACCGACAAACGCATTTGTAAATAGAGAAACTGGTGATGAATCGTTGAAAGTTCTTGAAAGTGCTTGTGGGCGCAATTAGACACACTATTTCATCATGTTCTCGCATTTTTACTGCCGTTTACTCTATGAATCAAGCGGCAAACTTGCATTTATTTATGTACGTCGCTGTAAATAGATTTCATCTCGAGAATCATAAATGTGCATAGATACTGCGAATCGAAATTATTCCGACATTACGAGATGTTATTTGTAAAATAATTTACTTCGGGAATAAGTAACATGGTTATAGAGCGATAACATGGCAATAATGCGCCTTTTCAGTTTTTCAGTGAAAATGTCTCTAAAGACGGATATTGCTGCGTGACATGATTAGGAAACTTATAATTATTGCTTATTTGACATTATAAAATGGAAATAATAATGGTAATTGACTATAATGATCAGTTTGTTAAAAATCTCTGATAGAATGATTGCAAAGCGTGCATATCTTGGCGTTTTTTACATCATTCTTTGCTCATATAATTCTCTTAATAAGAATATATACAATAACTGTTCGAAACACTTTGATGTATGAAGAAACATTTGTATACCAAATTGAGGCACAAATTTTGCGGCATATTTTTAATAATATCTTTTTAAAAGGCACTTGTATTTGCATTTTTTATAACAGAAGCATTTCACTATTGATGTAATAGCTTTAATTTATGAACCAAAAGAACTGAGACAACTTTTACAAGAAGCGGCTGGCTTATTTAACGCAACATTCGCGTTTTGTGATAATAAATAAGTCCGATAATAAGCTTAGACATTCGATATCTTCACGGCGGTGAAAAACTCAGGGAGAAAAGAAAAAGGAAAGAAAATCCCCGTAAACGGTTGTCCAGTGATGTGAACACTACGAATTCAACATATATAATATATAACATTTTTATTAACATTTGGTATTATTTGGTATTATTTTTATTTTAATTAGCAATAGATAAAATATATTTTTTTATAAAATTTTATATAAATGAAGGTACAAGTTAAAATCATGCATAAAAATATCGCGTAAATGTAAAAAAATATATAAAATACCAACGGGAAATTATAATGACTTTTCGGATTCGTAATGTTGACAGAATGTTGATCATCCTTTTCGGCAACGGGCGAGATGGAATGGAACAAATTAATTTGGATATTCTAGTATCACTGGTGAGACTTATATAAATAATAATCCTTGAATACCAACATCCGTGAGGAAAACGACGGAAAATCTCACTGTCTAAGATAGACATGACGTGTCATTAAATTGATGTCATTCAGCTAAGTTGACATGTAATGGCGAATCGCGCAGTGGGGTAATTATACCAGATACGCTCGAAAGATGACGTGATGGTTTTCGAAGTTGCAAAAATCGTAGAGGTATTTCTACGGATAAGCTGTAAAAGTTTTATCCGCGCGGCCGATTTTCGGACATTCTTCGGCTCGATTTCTGCACGGACATTTTTTTGTATCTTTATATGTGAGTATATGTGGGATGAAATTCCAGATGGAGTCGGAAGGAATAATGTGCGTAAAGTCCGATTTCTTAAAGTATCTTATTCTCGCTTTTATTATACGTCTGTACGTCGGTGATCGAATGTCGTTGATCGAATTTCTGGTCCGTACCAGCTCTCTTCCCTATACTTTCTCCTTCGAGATTATTCTTCAATCGAATATCTTTATATCATCTTTTATAAATATCTTAATTCTTAATAACAAGTACAATGTCGAAGGAGAAGCTGTTTGCTATTATTGTTTGTCCATTGTCTCAATCGTTAAACGTTTTGAATTATGTTTTTCAACATGTAAGAATTCGATGATTACAAAGATTTGAAAATAACGATCATAGAATGTATGTCTAGTTTCCGAACAATACGAAAAGAAATTATTACAAGAGAATATTACAGAAAATGAGTCTATTCTAGTGGGCTAATATCGGATTTGAATACATGCAACGCATATTGTATTCGCGTGTATTTAGTGCGATTCTCTGAGAATAGATTGTTCGGCGAAATCCAAATATTGCCGCATAAAAAAATGTGGCCGTGCGAGTCATGACGATATAATCGCTACATTATAATATCGATGATAAAACACGTTACGTGGCTATCTTGGACGTACAATTATACATTTTAGCCTAGTATACGCTTCTTCACATACCGAACGATTTATAGAATAAATTAGAAATATAAAAAACGCTAGCCGTAATATTTTCCCCGAGGTAATCGCACGTGCCTGCACAAAAGAAAAAAAAATCACGACAAAAATGTAATCCGTATTGTCTATCAATCGAATCTCATAACGAACGAATGATTTGTTAATATTTTAGATTTAGATACTTAAGAAGTAATTGTATCTATATTGTGAATACAGATCTAAATAATATCAGTGAATCATTATTATTATTTACTATGTGTCTTTATTTCTCAGTACACTATGAAATATTTACAAATTTGATATACATTTTATCAGAATAAAAATTGCTTTTACATATTGTACAATGCGGTGCAATGATTCGCGGGGTCACAGTAGCGCGTAACATTACCGGCATTGAGTCGATAATCGCGTGCAAATTTATTAGAATAAAAAACAATTATAAAAATAATAGGTAATCTTTTTTTAGAGTTCTATTTTTTTCTTTTCAGTAAAATTTAAATATTTTTATGATTATTTATTTCTTATTTAAAAATGTACACGTAAAACTATAAAGTACAACATGGTAAAATAAAAGAAAAAGTAATCGTAAAATACAATTAAGTATGGTCTAATTATTTTATTTTCAATTTCAAATAAAAAATGTGTTAAATTTTATTATGTTTTTTCCATTGCGTATACAACTATACATATATTCATACATAAATTATATCTGCGTTATATATCGTTTTTCAAATGTAATTATATAAATTTATAATTTATTATATATGTTTATTATATATGTATTTATTATGTAATTTATTATATATATAATTTATTATATATGTTACATTAGAAATTATATATCATATAGATATATCCCATACAGCACAACATCTCTCAGAAATCTTTCGGAAAGATAAATCGAAAGTTAATATTGAAATGTAATATAGAAATATTTCAGAAATGTTTGGGAAATATTTCGTTGAAATTATTTCTTACTTTTGTTACTGAAATATTTCAGAAATATTTTGAAACATTTCATAGAAATATTTCGTACGTAATGTTTAAAATACAGGGTGTCTCAAAACTCCCGCATTTGGAGTACACTACGTAATTCTTTATGCTAAAAGAAACAACTTTTTTCTTTAGCAAAATTGCATGCGACGAGTACTTTTTACAGTGGATCAGATTAAAAATGACGAATGAGCGCACGTATATATGTAGCGGTCAGGGCCGGCGCGCATTCCTCAGGTCGGTGCGCGTTTCTCAGACCGGCACGGCCTGGTACCTAATCTTTGACGACTTCACGCACTATATTATTTAAAATATGATAAAAGTTAACAAAATAAATATTGTTTTCATCCTTTACGTAAC